ATTTTTTTTTGTACTTTACATTAAATGGAGATATGTCTTTTAATGATGCTCGTGCTACGTGTTTGATCAGAAGATTTTTCTGTGAAGGATGGACAGATGTGTAAAGACAAAGCCCAAGTTAAGGTTACAAAGGCCCAAAACAAAATTCCATCAAAATCAAGCCTATGTTTCTATACAAGCCCAGAGTGTAAAGGATTAACTCACATGTTTATTTTCCTTTTCTATATTCTTATATTTCTTTATTGTACAGATGGCATAATATTGTTTATTCTAGGGTTATGTGCCTTACATATATATAGGAATGAATACACTCTGGCCACTCATGCCATTTTATCCAAAAATTCTTCTTTTGTCTGTTTCCTTACCTTGGTATCAGAGCTGTAGCAAGGCTAGCTGCCATAGAAGATCCAAAAACACCTAATACCAGCTCCAACTCATTGCTTTCTGCAACTTTATTATTTATGACCTCTAATAGCGAAACTTCATTACCCTCTGTTTCTGTCAAATTGGACAAGACCAACTATTTGTTATAGAGGATGCATGTCTTGCCCATTATCAAGGGCTACAAGCTTGAGGGCTTTCTTACTGGGAGCACACCGTGTCCTCCTCATCATATTGTGGAAAATGAAACCCAGATAAATCTATCTTTTGAAGAATGGATTGCCACTGATCAAATCTTATTCGGTAGGCTGTTAAACACGATGAACGTGGACATTTCATCTCAAATGACCATTGTTTCTACCTCCTCTAGACTTTGGGAAGCTACTTGACAACTTGCTAGTGCATACACAAAGGCTCACGTCCTCATATTGAAGGCTAATCTTCAACGTACTCATAAGGGCAGCATGTCTATGAATGAGTATCTTGCTAAACTAAAGCATATTTCAAAACAACTTACTGTCGCAGAGCATTCTATTGACCTTCTTGATCTCATTATTCAAGCATTAGCTGGCTTAGATGCTGAGTATAATCCTATTGTGGTTCAGTTGAGTAAAGAAGCTGATAAACTAAGTTGGATAGAGTTTCAAACCTCTATTCTCACCTATGAGAGTCGTATGACTCAACTTCAACAATTTTCTCAGTTGTCTCTTTCCAACAATCTTGTCAACTATGCTCGGACTGAATATACAAACCCTTTTTGTGGTTCTTGGTATGGGGACAGACACAATTGCACTGGACAAGGAAAAGGTAGAGGTGGTCGTGGTTTTGGTAAGAATGAGGATCGTCCTAAATGCCAACTTTATGAAAGATTTGGGCATAAGGTTGACACATGTTTTTATCGCTATGATCATTCATTTGTGAAACCAGGAAATAAACGTAATGGTGGTTCTATTTCTGGTAATTCTAATGCTGATTTCAGTGCCTTTTTTGCTACCCCTGAGACAGTGAATGATGACTCTTGATACTTAGATAGTGGAGCTACATCTCATGTTACCAATGATGTTACTAAGCTGGATACTACTCGTGATGTGACTGGTAAGGCTAAAATTGTTGTTAGTAGTGGACAAAAGCTTTCTGTTGAGAAAGTAGGGTCTACAACACTTCAAAATGTACCTAATTAATCAGTGAAACTTCATAATGTTTTATACTCACTAGCCATTAAAAAGAACTTACTAAGTGTCTATTAAATTGCTATTGATAATGCTGCTGATGTGACCTTTAACACACATGGTGTTTCCGTGAAGGCTCAGGACACAGGGGAGATAATGCTTCAAGGTCGATTGAGTGATGAAGGCATGTACCGAGTACTTAAGGAAAGAAAGACTGGAAATGAAGATCTTGTTTACGCTATTCATGAAGTTCAAGAAGTTAATAATTCAGCACCTAGGACTAGTTTCTCAAGAAAAGTTTGGCACTATAGACTCGGTCATCCTAGTGATAGAGTATTAAGTTGCATTATTAGTGATTGTAATTTGAAATTGTCAAGTTCTAATGAAGATCTTTTTTGTGAGTCTTGCAAATATGGCAAATCTCATTCTTTTTCCCTATAAAGGGTCAATTTCTCGTGCCTTTAAACTATTAGAAATTATTCATACAGATCTGTAGGGCCCTTCTCCTATCACCTCAATAAATGGTTTCAAGTATTACATTCTGTTTTTGGATGATTATAGCAGATTTTCTTGGATTTATCCATTGAGAATAAAAGATGAGGCTCTTCTTATGTTTATCTAGTTTAAAAAATTTCTTGAAAAGCAATTTGATAGTCCCATTAAAATTGTGCAGAGTAATTAGGGTGGTGAATATAGAAGCTTCTCTAATGTTCTGAAAGACTTTAGAATTTTATTTAGACACTCATGTCCTCATACCTCTGCTCAGAATGGCAGGGCTGAAAGGAAGCACAGACACATTATTGAATTAGGTTTAACATTGTTGGTTCAAGCTAAAATGCCACTTTTCTACTGGTGGGAAGCTTTTCACACAGCTACTTACTTGATCATCAATTAGCTACAAGTGTTTTTGGAGGTATCTCCCCTTATTTTCACCTACTTGGTCAATATCCCAACTATGAAGCATTAAAAGTTTTTGGGTCTACCTACTACCATTGTCTAAGACCTTACAATCAGCACAAACTTTAATTTAGGACTACAAAATGTGTTTTCCTAGGATATGATAATTCCTACAAAGGTTATAAGTGCCTCAGTCTTACTAGAAAAATTTATATGTCAAGACATGTTGTTTTTAATGAACATGACTTCCCTTTTGCAGCAAGTTTTCTGAATAAAAAGTCCTTACTTGTTGAAGAGATTTATCCTTAAAGTTTCTTCCAACCTGCAATCTCGTCCCTGCCTCAGTCATGTCCTGCTGAATCTCGAATTATTAAGTCTCCAGTTGCTGCTACAGAACCAAAATGTTCTCTCAATGCTGTGCACACTCTTTTAGTCTCCAATACTTCTCTTAACAGTATTCAAACTCTAGATACATCCTCTTCTGGAGTTTCATCACTACTTAATTCAGCATTACCTACACAACAGGAAAATCAACAGCAAGATATTTGTTGGTGTTACTGTGTTGAAAATAATGAATATACTGAACCTCACAGTGTTCAAGAGGCTTTCAAGTATGAGAAATGGAGATTTGCTATGAAAGAGGAGTATAATGCTCTAATTAACAACAACACATGGGTATTAGTTCCTCACACAGGACATGACAATCTAGTAGATTGTAAATGGATTTTTAAACTTAAAGAAAATTCTGATGGCACTCTTAAGTTTAAGGCAAGTTTAATAGCAAAAGGATTTCAACAAAATCTGAGGATTGACTTTGAAGAAACATTTAGCCTGGTGTTGAAAACTTCAATACTCAGATTTGTTCTTACTGTAGCTATCACTTTTGGGTGGCAAATTTGACAAATGGACATCAATAATGCATTCTTAAATGGCTATCTATAAGAGCGAGCCTTGATGAAACAACCATAAGGATTCATCAACCCTAAATATCCTCACCATGTGTGTCTACTAACTAAAGCTCTTTATGGTCTAAAATAAGCACCTAGGGCCTAGTATGATAAGCTACAAGTTGCTCTAACTAATTGGGGTTTTATTCATTCTAAATGTGATATGTCTCTGTTCTTTCTCAAGGATAATTAGCTGGTGATGTTTGTTTTAATATATGTAGATGACATTATTGTTACTGGGAATTCATTTAAGCTATTTGAAGCCTTTATTGAAAGGCTAAATGCATTATTTGCCTTGAAGGATTGGGTCAACTACATCATTTCTTGGGTATTGAACCTGAACAAGATGATACCAGGCTATATTTAAAACAAGAGAAATTGTATTCAAAGTATACTTCATAGATTTGGTATGGATTTATCATCCCCAGTTCCTACTCCTATGGTGATAAACAGACATTACTCTAAGGATGATGGAACACTTCTAAAAAATCCAAAGCCCTTCAGACAAGCAATTGGAGCCTTACAGTATCTAATTAACACCAGGCCTGATATTACCTTTACTGTAAACAAGCTGAGTCAGTTCTTAACCTCACCTACGAACATTCATTGGAAAGCATTGAAAAGAATTCATAGATATCTCAGAGGGACTTTAGATCTAGCACTTCACATAAAACCAAGTAGTCATTTTACCTTATAAGGATTTTCTGATGCTCATTGGGCAATTTGTCCAGATGATTGGAGATTTATCGGTTACTACTATGTATATTTCGGCAATACTTTGGTTTCCTAGTCAGCAAAGAAGCAGAATGTAGTATCATGATCAAGCGCAAAATTAGAATATCGTGCTCTTGCAAATCTAGCTACAGAACTTGCCTGGATTCAGTATTTCACTCGTGTAATTGTTTGCATTTGAAGGAGCCTCCCATTGCCTAATGTGACAACATGAGTACCGCTGTACTAGCATCTAACCTAGTTTTCCATGCTCAGTCAAAACATATTGAACTTGATGTTCATTATTTAAGAGATCGCATACTTGCGCACTAATTATCAGTTCGATATGTACCTTTGTCTGACCAAGTCGCAGATTTGTTTACTAAAGCCTTTAGTCAGTCAAAGTTTTGGGCCTTTCGTGACAAACTTAGATTGATTCACAGACCCAATTCAAGTTTGAAGGGGGATGTAAAGACAAAGCCCAAGTTAAGGTTACAAAGGCCCAAAACAGAATTCCATCATAATCAAGCCCCTATTTCAATACAAGCCCAGAGTGTAAAGGATTAACTCACATGTTTATTTTCCTTTTTTGTATTCTTATATTTCTTTACTATACAGATGGCCTAATATTATTTATTCTAGGGTTACGTGCCCTACCTATATATAGGAATGAATACACTATGGCCACTCACGCCATTTTATGTAGAAATTCTTCTTTTGTCTGTTTCCTTAACTAGATGAGACACGGAGCTTAGAGATGCCATATAATGAATGTTACACCATGTTGAATAAATTAAAGAATAATAGTTTGCTTTTAGGAACATCTCAGGGATGGAGAATGCACACTTTTCTTAAGGTCATAGCTTTTAATATTGCCAAAAAGACCAAGGAAATTATGGCAAAATCTGATATAGATTTGATAGAAATACCAAAGGATGATGAATGGCATGAAAATCTGCACAAAGTTTTTTTAAGAGGAAACAAAATACAGAAAATTGTAGATGGAACATCTCCTAAGTGTTCTAAACTCTCCACATTACTTCTAGATCGTAATTATCATCTTAAATGGATTGCAGATGATTTTTTCAACAATATGCCTTCTCTTAAAGTATTGGATTTGTCTGAGAGTGGCATCGAGCGTTTACTAGAATCTGTCTCTAACTTGGAATGCCTTAGCACATTATTAATTTCAGGCTGCTCCAAATTGAGTTATGTGCCTTCATTGATAAAATTGCAGCGGTTAATATCATTGGACCTTTCATATACCCTTATTACTGAAGCACCTTGTGGCTTGGAATTGTTGGTCAATCATAGACGTCTGAATTTTGATAGTAAATTTTATTTGGAAATGTCAGCATCAGGGATACCCAAAATGACCAATTTGCAGTCTCTTGTATTGAACCGTATCCCAAAATTAGTGGATGTGAGGGCAAAAGATCTACAAGGTTTGAGAAAGTTGGAAGTTATTTCAGCTAACTTTAGTGACACTGAAGATTTTAATGCCTGTGTTATGAGTTTCCAGGACAAAGATCGCACTCTCAAAAATTATTATCTAAGTTCAGTTATGTTATTGAATGATTATGTTGATGAATTTTTTCCATGGGATGCCTATTCTTTAAAAAGGGTTATTTTTTGTGGTATTGATATGGGAAACATAGCAATGCTTCCAGGAGACATCAATGAGTTGATTATAACTGTGTATCACTATTTGGAAGACTTAAACCCAATAGCCGGGCCATTTGCTCCATCCTTTCATAAATGCACCCCATTTTCTCACCTCATAAAGCTCATTATTCATGAAAGCGGCAGGATGAGGATTCTGATGACGTGGGAATTATTATCAATGCTCCAAAACCTAGAGGACATTTTTGTTAAATATTGTAAGTCGATGGAAGAAATAGTTGGAGAGGATTGTAGCAGTGACATTATTCCCCCTACCATTATCACCCTCCCCAAACTGAGATTTGTGGACTTGTATGAGCTACCAAAATTAAATTCTGTATTCAGAGGAACCATGTTCTATCCTTCTCTAGAATCTTTTCATGCCATCTATTGTAAGAAACCAAGCCACCCTTTGATAGAGATCAAAGAAGGAGAAGAGCTTTCGATGAAGAAGACCAAGACGGGATACTGTTGGAGTAGTGATGATCAGGTGCATATCTCCTCCAAAAGTTGACTTCCTTTTATTATATGGATATCATTTTATCATTTATTTGCAGAGCACATATATGAACATTGCCACTGTCCGTGTTTATTTTATTTATCTTTATTTTAATTATAAATACTTGTCATGAATTTTTATCATACATTAAATGTCTATAACACTTCATTTTAGAGATGACGACAAAACTTGAATGTTGAAATTGCTGGTCAATTTTAGAGTCGTTGCCAATAAAAGGAGTCATGCATTCAACTTAAATTTAGTTGATCTTTTAAAAGTTTGGGCATGCATACATATTATTTCTGGTATATCATGCAGAACGTCAGATAAATATTAACTATATATATATCAAACCAGTTTGTAGCATATATATGCATCTTCTTGTTAATATTTTTTTTTAATTCATTGTTCAAATCATGCAGTGCAATTTAGGATCCTTTGAAAGCCAAAATGAATGCGTTACAAAATCAGATGGTTTGTGTTTGAAGCACGACAAGATTTTTGTTACCCTTGTAGTGCCTAAAGAGAGGGCTAGATGATTCATTGATCAAATTTATGCCCAGATAAGCTTTACTCAAAAGAAGAAAATGATAAAAGTGGCACACAGAGCCCAATGAATATTATACTATATATAGAGAATGTACAGAAACCCTAATAAATGTGGTTTAGCCACGTATACAAAGAATGCCCTATAGCAAACTACAAATATAAAAAAATGTATAGATAAATATACTGGAATCATTTATTGGGCTTGTATATACTGATTGGGCTTGTGTAAGTTGGGCTTCCTCTCTATTGTCTTGACATCCCCCCTCAAACGAGAGGTTGGGCTTTTGATTAAACCAAGCTTATCTCTCAAACTCAGAAAGCGAGAGTGAGATAAGGCTTTTGTAAAAATGTCGGCTACTTGATCTGAGGAAGGTACAAAATGAACAAGCATCTGGCGCGCAAGAACTCGCTCGCGAATAAAATGAACATCCAATTCTATATGCTTAGTTCGAGCATGAAAGACTGGATTCGAAGCCAAAGCAGAAGCACTGAGGTATCGCACCAGGCGGTCGGAATCTGAGTCAACCGAAAACCAATCTCAGAGAACAAAGATTGAATCCAAGAGAGTTTAGTGGCAAGATCTGCAAGTGTTTTGTATTCTATCTCTGTAGTCGAACGGGAGATAACTCTTTGCTTCTTCCCAGACCAGGAAATTAGAGAATCACCGAGAAAGACACAGTAACCTCCCATGGATCGACGATCGTCAACACACGCAGCCCAATCCGCATCAGAAAACCCATGTAAGGTGAGATATTCAACTGGTTTTAGATGAAGAGTCAGATCGGTCTTTCCCTTTAGATATCTGAGAACTCGTTTAGCTGCTTGCCAATGAATGTCTATAGGGGATTTTAAAAATTGGCTAAGTTTATTTACTGCAAAGAGAATATCTGGTCGAGTGTTGACCAGATATTGTAATGCTCCAATTACTCGTCTGTAAATTGAGGGATTCTTCATGGGAGTCCCAACATGAATAGACAGATGCTTATTTATAACCATCGGTGTTGGAGCTGAAGCACATGATTCCATGCCAAAGTTCTTGAGTAGATCAAGAATATATTTTTCCTGCTTTACATAGAGACCAGAACTATCTCTATAGGCTTCTATGCCCAAGAAATGATGCAGAGTGCTAAGATCTTTCAATGGAAACAAGGCATCTAACTCTTTAACAAACAAGGATAACATAGTAGAATTGCTGCTAGTGATAATTATATCATCAACATAAATAAGCACAAACATGATATTATTCTTCACCTTGAAATAAAACAGAGAGTTGTCACATTGAGATTGCTTGAATTCCTAAGTCAATAATGTGGCCTTTAATCTGTCATACCAAGCCCTTGGGGCTTGTTTGAGTCCATAAATAGCCTTGTTCAAAAGACAAATATGGTTGGGATATCTCTTATCAACAAAGCCTTCCGGTTGTTTCATAAACACCTTTTCTTGCAAATAACCATTTAGAAAGGCATTATTGATATCCAGCTGTCTAATTGGCCATTTAAAACTAACAGCCAGAGTCAAAATAAATCTTAGAGTAGCAGGTTTCAAAACAGGGCTGAAAGTCTCATCATAGTCAATACCTGGACTTTGTTGAAAACCTTTAGCAACAAGTCTTGCTTTAGGTTTAAGAAATGTACCATCAGGATTAAACTTTGACTTAAATACCCATTTGCAGTCAACAGCCATTTCTTTACCAGTTCTAGGAACCAAAATCCAAGTCTGATTCCTTACAAGAGCATTAAATTCATCTATCATAGCCTTTTTCCAGATTTTTAAATTTAAAGCATCTTGAACAGTAAATGGTTCTTCATAATTAGATTTACTAATTTCAGTCAAACTAATAAAAGGAGCTTTAGGTTTGAATATACTAGGTTTGCTTCTGGTAACCATCTGATGCTGATTTTGTGTAACACTTTGAACACCTTGATCAGGTTCAGTTGAAGGTAATGTCACTGCAGGACGTTGAGGACTGTAAATCTGATTTGGTGAGGACATAGCAACTCTGTTATTATTGCTTGTATTATTCTCTGGTGATGCATAACTTTGAGGTGAATTAGGATCTTCACTAACTGGATATTCATTTAATGAAACAGAAATATCACCAGAAATAGTAGTGTTTGGTGATTGAGGTAGCTGAGGAGATATATTACTAGAGAAAGAGCACTGTGAAGGTAGAGAACAAAGTGCAGGTTTGAAGAAAACAGTAGGATGAGTCTCGTCTACAGGTAAAAGTTTCCTGTTTATGAAGCCATTAGCAAAAGGAAACTCTTTTTCATTGAATTCAACATGTCTAGATATGAAAATTCTGCCAGTAGGACTTAAGCAGTTATAACCTTTGTGTGAGTTGCTATAACTAATGAAAACACACTTTGTTGTTCTAAAATCAAGCTTATGTTGATTATAAGATCTTAGACAAGGGTAACAGGTTGCTCCAAAAACCTTTAAATTGGAGTAATCAGGATACTTAGTAAACAACCTCATAAATAGTGAAATACCTCCAAGAACAAGAGTAGGAAGTCTATTTATGAGCACAGTTGCTGTGTGAAATGCCTCCCACCAATAAAATAAAGGCATCTTTGCTTGGGCAAGCAAAGTAAGTCCTGTCTCCACTATATGTCTATGTTTGCGCTCTACTCTCCCATTTTGTTGAGAGGTATAAGGGCAAGAATGTCTAAATATAATTCCAACATCTTGAAGAGTTTTTGCAAAACTATGATATTCTCCACCCTAATCACTTTGAACTATTTTGATCTTCTTCTCAAACTGATTCTCAACATGGTTTTTGAATTGAAGAAACATAGATAGAGCCTCATCCTTAGACTTCAAGGGGTAGATCCATGAATACCTGTTATAGTCATCAACAAATAGTATATAATAACGAAAACCATTGGTAGAAGATAGAGGAGAAGGTCCCCACAGATTTGTATGTATGAGTTACAGGGGATGAGAAGTTTTAGATGTTGAAGCTTTAAATGGTAGAGAATGAGACTTGCCATATTTGCATGATTTGCAAAACATAGGTTCAACTTTTGCATTAACTTTTAAATTACATTCACTAATAATCTGATTTAAAATTTGGTCATTAGGATGACCAAGTCTATCATGCCAAAGCTTCCTAACATCATTACAACTAGTACTAGTATTATGCTTGGGAGTTAAAACTCCAACTTCTTCAACAGTGAAAACACGTCCAGAATTGTCTGAGTCCTTTGTCTTTTCAGCAGCAGCACTTCTTGTCTTTTGAACCTTTGTGACATCAACTCTATAAAGTCCAGTGTTACTTCTCACCCCTTGCAACAAAATTTTTCCTGTTTCCTGATTCTTAATAATGGCAGCATAAGAATTCATTAGAGTTAATACACTATTGTCATCTGACAATTTTGGAATGCTAATGAGCTTTTTCTTAGCTTTAGGTGCAAAAAGAACATCATTCAGTTTGACTGAGTTATAAAGGACATTTTGAATTTGTGTAGAACCAATTTTTGAAATAGGTAAGTTTTGGCCATTAGCCACAGATAACTTAACCTTACCATCATTAGGCACTGCTTGATCAAGGATAGAAGCATCATTAGTCACATGAGAAGTTGCTCCACTATCAAGATACCATGAATCATCATTGATAGTTTCTGGAGTGGCATAAAAGGGTTCATTAAGGCCAACAGCAGAAGAGGAACCACTGTCAAAACTCCTACAGTTGTTAGTAGGAGGATTAAAGGAGCGATCAAACCTTCGAAAGCAATTTTTAACTGAGTGACCAGGTTTGTCACACAGTTGACAAGGAGGTTTTCCAGATCTGTTGCCTCTGCCACGTCCTCGTTGACTGCGTCCACCACGAGGGCCACGCCAACCACCATGAGAGAAATCAGTCTGAGTGAAATTAGCAAACTAAGCATTGAGATTAAGCTGAGATAACTGACTTAGCTGATCCAAACGACTCTCAAATGTGAGCAACTCAGTTTGAAACTCAATCCAACTCATATCCTCTTTAGAAGCAAGTTTGACCACAATGGCATTGTATTCACCATCAAGGCCAGCAAGTATTTGAAGGAATAAATCAACTTGGGGAATAGAACTCCCAGCTAGTGTTAGACTTTCAGAAAAACCTTTCATCTTGTTGAGATACTCTTCCACACGCATCACACCCTTCCTAGTGCGTTGCATTTCAGACCTCAACATTAGAATGCGAGCCTTGTTTTATGCTCCAGCGATCTTACAAGCTGCATTCCAAAGCTCAGCAGCAGTTGAAACTTGCATCATTTGAGATGAAATATCCAAGGTCATAGTATTAAGTAGCCATCCGAAAACGAGCTGATCAGCCGAGACCCAATCCTCAAATACTGGGTTAAGTTTTGTTTCATCCTTATCATCAAGAATAAACTGAGGTGGACATGGTTTAGTGCCATAGATGAACCCATCGAGCTTGAAACCTCTTAGAACAGGTAAAACATGGGTCTGCCAAATAATATAAT